AGGCCCGCATTGAGGAACTGGAGGAGGAAATCGAGGCAGAAAGGGCCTCCAGGGCCAAAGCTGAGAAGCAGCGCTCTGACCTCTCCCGGGAACTGGAGGAGATCAGCGAGCGTCTGGAGGAAGCTGGTGGGGCGACTTCAGCCCAGATTGAGATGAACAAGAAGCGGGAGGCCGAGTTCCAGAAGATGCGCAGGGACCTGGAGGAGGCCACCCTGCAGCACGAGGCCACAGCGGCCACGCTGAGGAAGAAGCACGCGGACAGTGTGGCTGAGCTTGGGGAGCAGATCGACAACCTGCAGAGGGTCAAACAGAAGCTGGAGAAGGAGAAGAGTGAAATGAAGATGGAGATCGATGACCTTGCTAGTAACATGGAGATGGTCTCCAAATCCAAGGTACCATTAGGATTTAGGTCTTAGATTTCTGTAAGGTGTTAACTAATGTTTCAAGAATCATTCATTAACTGGTGGGGGGAGACTATAGCACTGGAAGTCAGAGGTCTGAGGGTGAAGACATACAGGGCACCTTGAGTATGGCAGGGTGAAAAATTCACTCTTTCTTTAAAAACAGCCAATTGCCATAAAGCTGACTCAAATTCACACACCCTCTCCCCCATATTTAAATTAGAGCTGTGCTCTGTAAGATTTTCAACAGCAGCTTTTGGGGAAATGCATCACCACACCTTTTATTCCAAAATAGCTCTGGATGGACAGAAACTCTCTCCAATTTCCTTTAGTTACCAAGTGCTTAATTAAATGAAAAACAAAAGTTGACTCTAGAGTTTGAGACTTTTAAAATACTTCACCTTGATTAAGTTTGTTTTCTCCTTAAGCAGGATGATAGAATTGCCTCCTAAGAAAAGTCTCATGAGCTTGCATAGTCAGGCATTATTGTCCTTGTAACATAGATAAGACAATTAACAAAGACACTAAATACACAAAGCAATCTGATGGCACTAGTTTGTGACTCTTTCCAGCATGCTTGGGGGGTGGGGTGGTGTCTTCGCTTTGTTTGTTAAGATAGCTTATTTTCCACATAAATGGACTCTGAAACACCTATGAAGCTTCCATACACTTGCTTGGAATGTCTTCCACCACTTCTTGCCTCTAGGGAAACCTTGAGAAGATGTGTCGCACCCTAGAAGACCAAGTGAGTGAACTCAAGACCAAGGAGGAAGAGCAGCAGCGGCTGATCAATGACCTGACAGCTCAGAGAGCTCGTCTACAGACTGAGTCAGGTGGGCCATTTACTAGCCTTGAAGGACATATTGACCTGGGAAACTCAATTTGCGGAAAACATTTGCATTGAACTACTTGAGATCATATATTACCTCTCTGGGAGATATCCACTAAAAAGAAACACTTTATTGACCCGTGTCCCCGATGCACTTTCTTCTTCTTTTACGGCAATCAAGGTCCATCTAAAAAGTACTAAATGCAAAGTGTGTCTGTCATTATCTCTTTTTAGTTTTCAAAAATACTTTCATAAACTAGTACTTTAGCGTCTTCACTGGTCTGTACAATGTTAAACGTAGTGGTAATGATGAAGTGACCTTTCCAAGAGAATGCACTCCTTATACCCTTTCTGAAGCCTTTCCACTGTTAAGTAGATCAGATTCAGCCTAGGGACATTCAAGTGAGGATTTTTCTATTAGAAAAATTGGAGCATGTCTGGTTTCACTCCATTTCTAATAACTCATCCAACTGTTTATCTAAATTTCTTCCCCAAGTTAAAGGTAACAAGATGGGAATTGTTCTATGAGATCACCTGGGCTATTAAAGAAATAGGTGGGTCCAAGTATCATTAGAGAAATGCTAAAATCTTTTGTAGTCACTAAAATATTGTTCTTATGAGATCAAGAGGGGTTTTTTTTTCCCTTGCTACTCAAGAACTACAAATCAGTTCACTTTATTTTAAAAAAACAACTGTATTCTGAAGAAGAAAAAAGGTTCCTAAGATTTCTCTTTCTCAATGCATGATTATACCTAACAATCAGTAGAATCAGAGAAAAAAAGGAAGTTGTGACTTTTTCTCAATCAGAGAAAAAAGAAAGTTGTGACTTCTGTCTTAGAGAAAAGACTTCCAGGAAAATAGTCTAAAAATGGTTCTGCAAGGTTTTCCCCCCTCTCCTTTTCTAATATCATTGGATATATTTTTTCAATTATGGAGCTTATGAAATTGAAAGTAAATCTGAATGTCATTTAGTCTGAATATTGATTATTTAGTCATAAATAAATTCATTCCAGGAGTAGGAGGATATGTGATCACAGATATAAAGATGCACCTAGGGTTTTATTTTGAACATGATTTCTAGTTACAGAAGCAAATTCTATGATTTTCCCATTCTCCTTGGGAGAAATTATCTGCTTCAACTAACTTTCAATGTAAGGGAAAATATCGCCTCAGATGAAAAAGCACTGAGATATTTTTCTGCTTTGATTTACATTTCTTATGTTTCTTCACCAACTTCTATTGTAGTTAAATAATCTTGAGTGTCTCCTCCCCCTAATTTTGTGTTGTTGTTCATAAGCATGCATTCTTTCTGGAAGTTCTCCACACCTTGTATCTTTTCAAAGACTTGCAGATCTCAATTGAGCCTGAGGTTGGTGGTTTGTTGGGAATCCACAGGTTCCTCTGTGTGATACATCTGCTCCCTTTCTCTGCTCTAGTTTTCAACTTTGAGCTTTAATTTCCAAAGTAACCCAATGTTCTCTGGATCTTGGCCAATACAGGTGAATATTCACGCCAGTTAGATGAAAAGGATTCATTAGTCTCTCAGCTCTCAAGGGGAAAACAGGCTTTCACCCAACAAATTGAGGAATTAAAAAGGCAGCTTGAAGAGGAGATAAAGGTAAGCCTGATCTCCAGTTGGTGATGCCAATGTCATTTATTGTTACTTGTATTTTGCTTACTTCTCCAGGTTTCCTTCTGGTGGCATGTAGAGACCCAAATTAAGTCATCAATCTTGATGTTTCCAGGCCAAGAGTGCCCTGGCCCACGCCCTGCAGTCCTCCCGCCATGACTGTGACCTGCTGCGGGAACAGTATGAGGAGGAGCAGGAAGCCAAGGCTGAGCTTCAGAGGGCAATGTCCAAGGCCAACAGTGAGGTTGCCCAGTGGAGGACCAAATACGAGACGGACGCCATCCAGCGCACGGAGGAGCTGGAGGAGGCCAAGTATGTTCTAGACTTGGCTGAAACGAGAGTATATATGTTCTGTGTATAATGTTCTGTTCTGTTCTATAAGTTCTGTATGGTTAAATAGTCCCTGATTCCCAAAACAAATATAAAAAATGCTTCAAAGCACATCTCTTCATATGAGAGGAGAAAATATGTCATTTAAAGTGAAAACAAGTGTCAGACTACTCAAGTCCTAAAAGGCAGACAGAAAATTCTGTAGTGACAAAGAAAGATTAATAAAGGAATAAATAGTTGATGCAACTCAAGAGCTTAAAACTCAATTGTCATAAGAGGGAGAGTCTCAACAGTAAGAGACACATTTACTCAACAGAAAGTTTAAGGAGAGATTAGTCATTTATTGTGAGGATGATGTACAAGCACAGAGTTGGAAAGAAAATATTTGGGGCACAGGTCTTGGAAAAGAGCCTTCAAAGACACAATTCTATTGATTTGAGAAATTTTCAATTAATGAATGTTATTGTTCTCAGGTGCCATGGAGTTGGTTCAGACTCCTAGTGACCCTATGAATAGCAGAATGAAATATGGCCAGATTGTCCACTGTCATCACCACTGTTGCTGTGTTTGAGTTCACTGTGTCAATCCATCTTGCTGAGAGCCCTCCTCTTTTTTGTTGACCCTTTTTACTTTGCCAAATGTGATCCTTTTTCCAAGATACAAAGAGGTGGACAAACTCTTGTTTATTTAGTTATAAGTTATCAAACATTTGGGTCCATATAATATGTATGATTGCCTAAAGTATAGAAATGTTAGTCAGATAGGCTCTAACCTCTGGGATAAAAAGCCAAAACAAAACACTTAGTGGAAATTCAGACATAAATAAAGAAGCTGCCTGAAAGGTAAAATATAGGCTGGATTAGTCATGCAGGTCCGAAAAGCCAGATTATGAAGAACGGCAATAATGAAATTTGAGTTACTTCAGTATTTGATGTGTAGAAGAGTAGGGATAGGTTAATTAGAAATATTTCAAAAAACGCCCTGATTTCCATAGAGTCAGAACTGACCCATAGCGGACCATCCAGTGGTTTTCCAATAAGATTGCTCATTGTTCTCCTGAGGAGGGGCTGATGGATTCGAACCACTAGAGAGATGCTATGTTTGGGTTAGCAGTGCAATGCTCTACGGACCACTGGAATCAGTTCTGTGGGTGGCCTCCAACTACTATCCTCCACGTCTTACTTTTTAGGAAGAAGCTAGCTCAGCGTCTGCAGGATGCTGAGGAGCACGTTGAAGCTGTCAATGCCAAATGTGCTTCTCTTGAAAAAACAAAGCAGCGGCTGCAGAATGAAGTGGAGGACCTCATGATTGATGTGGAAAGATCGAATGCTGCCTGCGCAGCTCTGGACAAGAAGCAAAGAAACTTCGACAAGGTATTCTGCACCAGTTTCTGCTTCAACACTTAATGTGGGATTAGCTATAGTTTCCTACATTCAGTGGCCTTTATCTAAATTGACTGTGACGCTTTCTTCTACTCCATGGCAAAGTAAGGGACTCCTAGAGTTTTCTACTCTTGTCATTCAGTTATGTATCATCTCAATTGTTTCTTAAGTGCCTTCATTCATAAGGCTTTCATCCCATGAAAATTGCTCCACTCAATTTCTGGGTGTGCTCCTCAGATCCTAGCAGAATGGAAACAGAAGTATGAAGAGACTCATGCTGAACTTGAAGCTTCCCAAAAGGAATCCCGCTCACTCAGCACAGAGCTATTCAAAATTAAGAATGCTTATGAGGAATCTTTAGACCAGCTTGAAACCTTGAAGCGGGAAAATAAGAACTTGCAACGTGAGTACACGTCACCGTTTCTATAACCAAAGATTTGAAGTAACGTTTCCTGTTTGTGAACACATTTCTCTATTGTGCTTACCAACAGAGGAGATTTCTGACCTCACCGAACAGATTGCAGAAGGAGGGAAACGAATTCATGAGCTGGAAAAAATAAAGAAGCAGATTGAGCAAGAAAAGTGTGAGCTTCAGGCCGCTTTAGAGGAGGCAGAGGTAGGTATTGTATTATACAGGTACTCTAAAATAATCCTAAAATGATTAGGTCCTACCAACAGAAAAGACTGGTGAATCGAAAGGAAAGAAAACTATTTTTCAGTCTGTACACTAAACACAATCATGGAGAATTACCTATAGTTACAAAGAACAAAACCACTAACATATGTCAGGAACTGGGATATACTGAGAAAGCAAAGACGAACAAATTAAGAATTTGTCTCCAAGGGACCAGTCTACCTGAGGGGAGAGAGGGAAAATGAACTACAACCTAAAATTGTCTATAATAGAATAAAAGTATGTATGGCAAAGAAAAATCAAACCTACTGCCATTGAGCCATTCCCCAGTGGCCCTCCATTCCCCACTCCTCAACTCCCATATTTTCATGGAAGAAAACCTGCCACTGGTTCCCATGGAGCTATAGGTGAATTTAAACTGCCAGGTTTAGGTTAGCAGTATAGGTGAATTTAAACTGCCAGGTTTAGGTTAGCAGTACCACACACCAGGGCTCCTTAAAGGTCTGTCTCACAATAGGAACCAGGCACTAATTCTTATTTCTAGAAAACCACATTTCCCCTTCCCCTACTAATATCATCCCCGGCTGTCACTAAGGCTTCTCTTGAACATGAAGAAGGAAAGATCCTGCGCATCCAGCTTGAGTTGAACCAAGTGAAGTCTGAAATCGATAGGAAAATTGCAGAAAAAGATGAGGAAATTGACCAGCTGAAGAGGAACCACATTAGAGTCGTGGAGTCGATGCAGAGCACACTGGATGCTGAGATCAGGAGCAGAAACGACGCCATCAGGGTCAAGAAGAAGATGGAGGGAGACCTCAACGAGATGGAAATCCAGCTGAACCATGCCAACCGCATGGCTGCCGAGGCCCTGAGGAACTACAGGAACACCCAGGGCATCCTTAAGGTAATGGGTTCCAGAGGCAGCCCCAGAACAATTCGGTGAGTGCAGCTCTGAGAACATGGGGCCTCAATGCCTGTGTTCATTCCACAGGACACCCAGATCCACCTGGATGATGCCCTCCGGGGCCAGGAGGACCTGAAGGAGCAGCTGGCCATGGTTGAGCGCAGATCCAACCTGCTGCAGGCTGAGATCGAGGAGCTTCGGGCCACCTTGGAACAGACTGAGAGGAGCAGGAAGGTTGCAGAACAGGAGCTCCTGGATGCCAGCGAGCGTGTCCAACTCCTGCACACCCAGGTAAGTGTATGGTATAAAATAATAAACAATGCAGCAGGATGGTTTTCAAGGTTATGACTGTTCGGAAGACCACGAGGTCTTCCCACCTCCATCCAGTGGGACCACTGGGTAGATTCAAAACCACCAATCTTTTAAGTTGTTGAGCTCTTTACTGACTCTTACCAGGGCTTCCTGCTCAACTCTTAATATTACTAACTAAAACTATTAATAATTTTTCATGGAGAATATAGCTTAAAACATTTAATATTTAGAATAACTATATTTTTGTTTGGGTTGTGACACTCAGAGTTGACTAGGTTTTAACTAAATAATGTCTACTCAGATGGTCTTATGAAACAAGGAAGGGTGGTAGGTAATGTAATCAGTTTGTGAGTCTATTAGAATGTTAGATGTTCTCACTTGCCTCTGGGTACTTAACAATTTAAAATTGTACATTTAATCAGAACACCAGCCTGATCAACACCAAGAAGAAGCTGGAAACAGACATTTCCCAGATCCAGGGAGAGATGGAGGACATTGTCCAGGAAGCCCGCAACGCGGAAGAGAAGGCCAAGAAGGCCATCACTGACGTGAGTGAAAAGCAACACAGTGGTCATCCAGCTTGAATGTTGACAGGCCACTTCAGCTCCTATAACAATTTTGTTCTACTGCTCACCAGGCCGCCATGATGGCCGAGGAGCTGAAAAAGGAGCAGGACACCAGCGCCCACCTGGAGAGGATGAAGAAGAACCTGGAGCAGACGGTGAAGGACCTGCAGCACCGTCTGGACGAGGCTGAGCAGCTGGCCCTGAAGGGCGGCAAGAAGCAGATCCAGAAACTGGAGGCCAGGGTGGGTCTCCTGATCAGCACACTTTTGTATCTTGTTCCATTTCAAGAAATAATTTTGCCTATTTAATGATGCTAAATGATGTGGGCCCTACATAAGATGAATGAGAGATAGACTCTCCCCACTCAAGAGCTTAAAACAGGGGATGAGGATTAGATGAGAGCATCAAAAAGAGATACAAAGCAGAGAAAATTGTGAAGCACTCTAAGTCATTTGAAGAAGCAGAAACACGGTTGAGTAGCTACAACACTGTTCTTGTCTTTATAACAACATCTTCTTGCAGGTTCGTGAACTTGAAGGAGAAGTTGAAAGTGAACAGAAACGCAACGTTGAAGCTGTCAAGGGTCTTCGCAAACATGAGAGAAGAGTGAAGGAGCTCACTTACCAGGTAAGAAAAATGGTCTGAAAAAAGATCAAACAGTTCTGTTTCCATAAATTATTTACCCTTGGCAAGCCTTGGGAGTAACCTCTTTCTGTCTTTCCTTTAGGGTTGTTATGAGAAGGGATCTAACTTAATAACAATGGATTTGCTTTTGATTTGCAACAAATATACAACCAAGCAGATAGCAAAATGTCATGTTGTTTGTGTGTACAGGAACTCACTCTTTAAAATGACTCTTTCAGACTGAGGAAGACCGCAAGAATGTCCTCAGGCTCCAGGACCTAGTGGACAAACTGCAAGCAAAGGTGAAAGCTTACAAGAGACAAGCTGAGGAAGCGGTGAGTTCAGAACCACCTGGACGGGTTGGGTAGCCTTCAGTTCTTAGATGCTTCCAGGTCACATTAAGCTGAAGGAACAGAAGAAAGGATGGGCAAATAGAGGAAGAAAAAAAGTGAAAATGGTTCAAGTTCTGAACAATGGGAAGAAACCAGTCACTTGATGAGCTAGACAGTAGAAAGGGAAAGAGCAAGCTGAGAAATTAAGTGGAAAATAGGCTGGTTCAGAGAAAAGAAAGACAGGTTTGTGGCTGCATAGGAACACAGAGAGACATAGTAGAGATGAGACCGGAGACCTAGGCAGAAGCTTGCCAAAACCTCATTATGTTCAAGTTCAGGCCTCGTTAAGAATCTTCACATATTTAGAGTTTTCATGAATCACTGATAATATAGCTTGCTTAATTACATTAAGTGTAATGGGACACTGGGAAGCCACTGGAGGAGTCCAAGCTGAGCCAATCGTGATCTGATTTACATATTTTAAAAACAGTATTTGACTACTATGTGGAGTAGGAACTTCCAGGAACACAGCTAGACACAAGGAGACCCATTAGGGAGCTTTTCAAGTGGTTCTATGGCCTGAGTCAAGGCAACCAGGTAACAGAGAGAACTGGGGAGATTCAAGATACATCTTGGATGCAGAAAGTCTAAAATAGCAGCTACATTGGTGAGAAGAGGGTATGGAAATCAGGGGTAATTCATCAAGTCTGTGGTTTCGGTAACGGGGAGGATGGTGTAACACCTATGAAAATGGATGGATAATGAAAGGAAGAACAGATTTGCAAGGCAAGAAGAAAACAGGAATAGCGTTTTGGATGGATCAAGTTTGAAATACCATTCTGTACGCAAGATGTCAAATAGGTAGCTGAATGGAAGCGTGTGTGGAGCTGAGGAGTTCTAGTCATTATGTTTAAACCACTAGATTTATGGCACCACACCTCAGCTCAGCCCCCCATTGTGTTTCATCTGAAATAATAATGAAATAAATCCATTTTCTAATTATGACTATGCAAAGCTATATACCACAAATCATCCTATGATCATTCATGATTTTCCCATTTTTCACTAACTTCTAAAGTCCAGGATGATAGAGAGAGAGAGAATGATGACATACGTATCTATCTATTTGTATGTACACGTGCATATGCACACATAAATTCTGGACAAATCAGAGGGGGGAAGGAGCGTGGAGGAAGGGAGAGGGGGCTGGGAAGAGGGAGGTCCTATTTTCTCTAGGTCTTAGTTTCCTTCATAAGAGGGGAAAGGTGAGGCTTCCCCCAAGTTTTATTATTTAGATTCTAAGCTCCATGAATGTTGTAAATTTGTAGAGGATTGTTAATAAGGCTTGTTAAAAACCTTAAACTACGACTGACGTTTCAAATTCACTCCTTCATATTTAAGCACAGTGAAACACAGCACTGCAGACTATTTTAGGAAGCAGTAAATTTCTTCCCTTAATGTTTAAACTGCCTTAAGTGGCAATAATTTCTAACTAACAGGCATTCATTTTTATTCAAAGCTTTTAGAGTTAGGTATAATATAGATTATGTCCTTAAAGTTTTAAAAAATTGATTTTTAGGAAAAAAGCAAGATCTCTGCTTTTGTTCCATTCTGTTAAAAAAACACAATGGGACCCCTGGAAGTACTTAGTAAACGCTCCAAAGTTTTAAGTTTCTTACAAGATTTACTAGTGAATAATTTTTAAATTTTAAAAAACCAAATCCACTAAGACAGAGAAAAACTGGATGTATACTTATTTGAAATAGATGAGGGACAGAACAGTTTAAAAGTTATATATGATAGTATATTATGATTATCACAGAAATCCAGAATTAAGGTTGCCTAGTGGAGTGCATTGGGGTGGGGTGGGGGACTGCAAACGAAGAAGTTTATCTTTTGCTTTTCAAAGAGAGGAGCGAATTGGGGGAGGTGGGTAAAGAAAAAAGTGCAACAATGAATGAATGAAAATCCAAAATCTCTGTAAATGTTCATTAAAATTAATAAAATAAAAAAAAAAAACAACAACCCAATGAAACAAACCAAGCCCACACAACTGAAGGTCCATTTGACCTAGGAACCCTGAAATTCTGAATTCTATTTCCTCATCACTGCACTTTGGTTCTCAGGAGGAACAGTCCAACGTCAACCTCTCCAAGTTCCGCAAGATCCAGCACGAGCTGGAGGAGGCCGAGGAGCGGGCTGACATCGCCGAGTCCCAGGTCAACAAGCTGCGGGTGAAGAGCCGGGAGGTTCACACCAAAGTCATAAGTGAAGAAGAGTGATTCCCCCAAATGCTGCAAGGTGACCAAAGACACGCACAAAATGTGAAAATCTTTGTCACTCCATTTTGTACCTATGAATTTTGCAGATAAAAAATTTACCTGCGAAGAACTTGAGTCTTTTTTTCCCCCCTTTCCTCCTGCTGTGCCAATCTATCTTTTAGGTTCCACCAAGAGTGGAAAAGCAAAACATTTAGCTTACATTTTCCAGAAGAGTGCTTACTTAACAAAACTAAAATATGACAGAGAGCCAGCAGGCCGAGTGAGTTAGTAAGTGCTGGAAGAAGCCGGTGGTCTCCATTTGGTAAACCTTGGTGACACATCACTCATTGCTGGTGTAGTTGTTAGGGAGTCACACCGCTGGTGACCAGAATCCACCAGCAACCCTGCTGGCTGGGGGGAAATGGCCATGTCCTCTCAGGTGATTTAGAGCCTCAGGAACTCGCTGGAGGGTCAGCTATGGGTTGGTTTGGACTGAACAGAGAAGAGTTTGAGTTTTTATTTGGTAAAATATCAGCTAATTGTCAGACAATAGTATTTGTTGTTGTTGTTAATGATGTTATTGTGTTTTGTCACAACATGATTTAAAAAAACCCAACCTTGGTCCTAAGTAAAAAGAAGCAACGCTAATTGGAGCTCAGGGAGCTTTGGTGGTAAGGAGCTGCGCTGCCATCCCGAAGGCACTCGGTTTGTGCTTTGTGGGAGAAAGATGGGCAATCACCTCCCAAGCGCATTATTCCCTCTGGAGGATCACCTAGGAGTGAGTTCTAACTGTAAGACACACACCACCATCAGCATCAACAACAGCGGGAGCTCTGATGGCCTAGTCCATAGGGGGCTGCTCTCCTAACTCAAAGGTGTGGCCTCTCTGCAGATTAAAATTGCCCAGTATCTCCTCAGGAGAACGTTGGGCAATTTTATACAGACTCCAAAGAGGAGAGTCAACTATGAGTTAGTTCCGACTCTACAGCAATGACTTTGTTAGTTATTGCAATGACTTTTTAAAGTTATTGACCTTTAAAAAAAATAGAGAAGAAAAATGGATTAGCTACTATTCACTATAATTTAAAACGGACCCTTTCAGTATAGTTACTTTAACATTACCTTCACACACTGCTGCCAGGTTAATTCTGACTCATGCTGATTTTGTTGGAGGGGAACTGTCTTCCACAGGGTTTTCAATGGCTAAGATTTATGAGAAGTAGATACTCAGGCAGAAGTCAAGACAAAGCATTTCTGGGTGGATTCAAACCTCCAACCTTTCAGTTAGTAACTGAGCAAACTAACCTTCTGCTCCTATACAGACTCCCTTTATAAGCATCTGAGCTATGTTTTTGAGTGACAGTTTACAAATCACCTTCCCCTCCCCCCCCCCCAATTAATCACTCTTGCTAACTAAACGCACCATTAACTGGGAATAAGATCCCCTGAGAAAGAGATAAGATCTATGAGTCCAGTCATTTTTAAATATGAAAATTTTAGAGCTTTGATATCTACTGATGTTGCTTGTTTTATTGAGCGTCCCTGGCAATCATGTTAGAGCAGTAACAATAAAGCAACCACTGCATTAAGGCGGTTCTGACTTAAAGTAATCCTCCAATGTGTTTCTGAAGACGTAAATCTTCACAGAAGGAGGCTGCCCATCTTTTTCCCGCGGACCACGTGGTGGATCCAAACTGCAGACCTTTTGGTTAGCAGCTCCACACATGATGCCTTACACCATGAGGGAGGAGTTACATATGTGCACCTTTTCAGTATTTGTTGTTCTATTTCATTGAAAACGTCTTTACAAGGCTCTCCCTAGCTCTTCCAGGCAATCAGATGCCCATTAATGTAAGACAAGAAGTTCCCCATGCTCATGATGTCACATTTAGATTTCTACATTGTGCATTTTTATACAGCCGTGGCAACTGTTATTATTGTATAATAAATATTACTATTACAGGTGATAAATACTGAGAGTAGCATATGCCTCCTATTTATCCCACTTTTTAATAGACCAAGAGCTAGTGAGATAACAAGTATCTTGTCTCTTAGAAATAGAACAAAACCCTAATGAGAATATTCCTGTTTGAAAGGAACAATATAAAAGCCCATGTTTTTATTGTCTTATCCAGCCTTACACCCAGACCTCAGCTCTAGAGAAGTCTTCCTTCTGGGCTGTTGTACCTCCATTGTTTTCCCTTGATCATTGTGCACAACTGATCATTCTAACTCTACACATTGAGTTAATAATAATTAAGAATTATTGTTACAATAATATAATGTTTATATTTCCTTTTTATAATAATAATAATAATAATAATAATAATTTTTTTTTGCTGCAAGTTAGTCTACTACTCTAATTCCACAACTGTCATTTCATTTGTTTACTGACATAATGAGGAAAAGTTGCTATCAAGAATAGTAAGTTATTAAGCAAAGAGGTGGAAAAATAAGGCAGAAGCAACTCAATGACACACATTTCCAGCATCTCCTCACGCCACCTCTTCCACAGACTTCAACTGGAAAAGGGCATAATCCAAAACTACTCAGTCTTCAAAATCAGTAAAGCAGCCATCTCCTGGATGTGCTTGTTGCAATCGTCCTATTATAACAGCCAGGCCCTTTGGCATCATCAGTGTTCTGTTCTACTTCTGGCCTACCCATAAGCCTCTTTTTCTCTTTAGTTCTCCTCCAACTCAGCAAAAATCCATCATCTCTATTTGTAGCTACTCTCTTGACAACTCCCTCGACTTCCCGGCCATCTTCTATTCTCCTACCTTACCTGACTGGAATGACACTAACTCTGAAAAAAAATCCAACAATCTCCATATTTCAGAGAAAAAGGCAGCACAACCACCAACCCCACTGGGCCCTGAATACTGCATTTCTTTAAGCACATGCCTTCATCACTCTCTTCAGTACGATTTCAGATTTCCTTCACTCTCCTTACACCTCCATTTCTTTCAGGATTAGCAGTTGCTCTCATATCTGCTCTAAAAAGGGGGGTAGGGAATGTCATTAGATAAAAATGGCCTCAGATTTATATCTGAACTACCTTCTCCTTTCAATTAAAAATATTTCTCCTCCCATACTGAGGTCCATTCTTATGCCTGGACCTAATTCTCATTCCCTCCTCCCCATCAAAAAGTTTAAACCATGGAATATTCTTTTGCACAGCAATTCCAACATTTCCTACTCTATTAGAACCTTTCTTAAATACTCCTTCAACTCCATTTTTTTCATCCAGCTGTTACCTCATTTTCTACTTTCTTTCACAATAAGATTTTTTTAAAAAAAAACCTGTAAACACACATCTACTTAACTCATTCCAGTCTGGAGCTCTGGTGGCCTAGTGGATAGAGAATTACACTGTCAACCCAAAGAAAGGGGGTTTAAATTCCCCTGCAGCTCTCCAGGAGAAAGATGAAAACTCTCCTTCCATGCAATTTATAGCCTCTGAAAACCCACTTATGAGGTCACTTATGGTTTGATTCTGAGCATACAGCAATTATTTGGGGCTTTTATGGTTATTGCATCGCATCTTATCTATCCTGCTCAGTTAATGCATTATCTCTCCCATTCATTTATTCCATCCTGACTTAAAGTTCCCTTTCAGTTACTGCAACTAGTCTTCTTTCTGCACATTTATTATACCCTGTGTTACATATAATTTTCAGTTATTGCATTTTGTATAATGTCTCATACTCAGTTACTTTATTCAGTTTCATCTCTCATTCAGTTCCGGCCTCCCATCTTCCCTCTCTTGCTCAGTTATTGCATTATCTCTTCCATTCAATTACTGTAGCCCATCTTATCTCTGCTGTGCAGTTGTTGCTACTGTCTTACCTTCCTCCTCATTGACTGCATGATGTATTATCTCTCCCACTAGGTTTTTGCATCCTCTCATGTTCAGTTATTCAATTAAGCCTTATTTTTCCCACTCATTGATCATACCTGGTCTTATCACATCCCATCTCATCTCTCAAATTCAGTTACTACATCCTTCCTTATCTCTCTTGTCCTTCAAAGTAAGGTGAGACTTTGGATTTCCTTATTGAGAAAAAACTGGTATTATTTATCACATCACATCTCATCTCTCACATTCAGTTATTGCATCCTTACTTATCTCTCTTGTCCTTCAAAGTAGTGTGAGGTTTTGGATTTCCTTATTGAGAGAAACTGGTATTATTTCTGTATTGACATTTGATGTCTTTATTGCCCTCAACATGTATTTTTTCAATTAACATTTTCAATCTTTTCTCTAAGCTTTAACCCCTTCCAAACCAATACACAACTGTTTGCATAAATTTGTAGAAATCCAAATTACCCATAAAACTATTAGTACATGAAAATGAAAACATTTACTCTCTTTTCCCCACACGATTGCCTTCCCCTTGCACCTTCCAGTTGTCCCTTGCTAACATCCTACCACTTGGGAATGCAGGGTGGTCTCTCCTGCCTCCACTTCCAACTCTGTAAAAGATGCCAACTATCAACAGGGATGGCATCAACCTTCTGGTTGTTTTCTTGTTAAAGATATGGTAGTGTCATACTCAGGAAAGGTGTACACCAGGGATGCATCCTATCTCCATACCTTTGAACTCTATATGAGGAACAGATCATTGGGGAGGCTGGATTTTATGAGAAAGAATGTGGCATTGGATTGGAGAAAGACTCATCAACAACACAGATGGCACAACCTGGCTTGCTGAAACGGAAGAAGATCTGAGGCAATTGCTGCAAAAGGTCAAGAACTGTAGCCTCCAATATGGATTGAAGTGCAACATCAAGAGAACAAAGATTTTCACAACTGGGCCAACTGCGAGCATCATGATCAAGATCAGCATCAATTAAGAGATTAAGATTTGTTAACAGATTCAGTTTGCTTGGCTCCACAATCAACATTCTTGGTACTTCTTGTTGTTGTTGTTATGTGCCGTCAAGTTGCTTGCTACTCATAGCGACCCTATGTGCAACAGCCCTAAACCCTGCTCTATCCTGTGCCAATCGCACTGCCT